GACCGGGAGGATGGGCGGGTGGGGAATGTACAGTAAACGACGATTGGCCGATGGAAGGAGTAAACTGAATTTTTTAAGGAAGTACCATGTCCAGATTGTAACCACCAAGAAAATAGTTGTCGATATACAGCGATGTGTAACAGTGCTTTTATCAGAATGGGGGTGGGGGTTTGGAGGGGGGGGGGGGGGGGTGGGGTAATGCAATAGATCAAGAACCATGACATGAGTAACAGAAAGATAAAGATTATTGAAAAACCCTGTTGCATCGTGTCAAATGTATATTAACTATAATATATGGCTGGTAATCGATTGGTGAACAACATTTTGGTTTTATCGCGCTAGTTTTTTTTTTTTTTTTGATAATTATAACGTCATACATTATGTATTATTTATAATTATAACGTCATACATTATGTATTGTATGTAATTGTGTATCCGTCTCTGATTTATGTCAGCAGCTTAATTCAGAAATTAATGTCTTGTAATTGTTGTCAATAATTAGTCAATTATTTCGCCAAGTGGTAAATTATCATTAGAGAAGTAAAGTTTTGTGTATCTTGAAATATAAGTTCTAAGAAGATATAAGGCCAACGGGAAGGGAAAGGGGTCGAAACTGCAACAGTGCCAGGTCTTTGTCTAATAGTGTGAAAATTGCTAGTGTACTTTTCCCTTTTTCTTCTTTTTTTTTTATTCCCATCTAGGTTGTCTAGTGATTATTTTCTATTATGCAAAACGAGCTATTCAATGTGTCTGAACTAGTTCTGGATGGCCTTAATTAACCTACCAGTCTAAAGAGACTATTCTTTACTAATATTTGTATTACGGTAATTAAACTATACAATTATTTCACCGAGTCTAGTCAGCGGGTAACCAGTTTAATCTTATCAATAGCTTTAATGATACTTCACTTGGCGAACGATGGCCTTGCATTACTTATACGTTTCATTAGCCGAGTGTAGGATGTAAAACTCACTTTTAAATAAATCACAATCATGATCAATAGATTAACTTGAATCACAAGTAAAGAACAAAATCATAATGAAAAGAGCATACAATTTTCTTCTTCTGAGCCTTAATTTCTGTAGTTGAATCACAAGTAGAAGTCGTCGTGAGCCTATCCAGATGATTATTGTTAAGTCGAGGTTCTCAAGTTGATAAAATTAGATATTATGAAAGCAGACTGTCTATAAGCTTTTATCTCGGTCCTGCGTTTAGTTGACTGCATATATAAACAGGTTTCAAGAAACGTTTTGTTTTTGTTTTCGGTTACCTGATAAATAAGTGTTTAGTAAAAACAACACGTTTTGGAATACAACCAGTAAATTGACTATTAAACTGGAAGTCTGTAAAGATTTATCATATTGGTTTATAATATCGTCATGCCGACCATAAAAGTTTAGAATTGAGACTTCAATGTATAAGGCTACAGAACTGTAAGTAGATCAAAATGACTAACTTAATGGTTGAATATAATTAGATATCTTGTGTTACACAGTAAATATAAATTATTTGTTAAAACAGATTTGTCATTCGTGTATACCGAGACAACGTTGCTCAAGTGGTGTTCACGTGGTAATTAGGACCATTCACTTAGCATGACACATAATCCATGCAGATTCATTGTCAATTGTATAACCCTCTTGCGAACAATATTTTTGGTCTTATTTTACACTGTTCTGTCTCATTCTGTGAGAGTTTATTGATGCCCTTGATAACCCGTTGCTGCAGGTTTGATCGGCTAAATTTGATAAACGATAGTTATGGTAGTTCAACGACGTTTTATCAGGATTAATTACCCGTAACTTACATCTCGCAGTTTCAAAACCGTTCGGAAGGTTAGCTAGAAATAAAACCTGCCTGGAGAACGGATACAGTTATTACTACCTCAACATTCATCATTTTGATTAATTTCACAATTTCATGATGGCTTGATTACCCATCTCGTTCAGTTTGGCGCCATTTATATCGCTGATGGCTAATATAGAATGTAAAAGGCGGGGGTTCAGCCGACCCCCCTCAATCAATTCTGGCTTTCATGTCTTCTATATTGTCAGATCTTATGTAAACATACAGAATAATGTTTGTTAAAAATATCAGATATCTGACTGAGAAACTATTTACAAGGAAACATGTCAAGTATTGCTCGAAAGCAATTGAACACAAAAGAAATGATTATTTATAACCTGATGAACATCGTCCGTCGTTCAAACCAAGGTTACACACAGCAGTACAACACAAGAACATCAGAATGTAAAACGTGTGGTCGCTCAAAAGGCTGAAAGTCCACACAGCAGTGAATTCATAGCAATTGCAACTTCAAAAATAGTGGGCGTATAACAAAAGTGTACAAACAATATATTTTTACTGTCAAACAAGTTGGAAGTTATATCTCTATATTACATTCTGTTATACAATTCTTAATTCTTCTGTTCTGTTCTGTTCAGTTTACATGTATCTATAGAAATTTTAAATCGATCACAAATAAATATTTTGGGTGTTATTCATATCAGTTTTATTATTTTAGAACTTTTAAAATCAAAGAATATGAAGGTGTAAATCTTGGGGAATATTGAAGTAAAATCCTGTAAAAACACCAATACTCTCTCCTTGTTGCAAGACGACCAACTCTCAGTTATAAAAACACCAAAATATATTCAGTAACCAAACTGACTCTTGAATACCGAGCTTTAAAATACTTACACCCACGGGCTTATATCTGTCCATATAAAATTCAAATAATTTTAACTGTAGGATTATAAAAAACGTGTGTTTCCATGGTAACCTATTATCACGGATTGAAAGAAATTAAAGGAATTATAAATATTAAGTAGAACTGATAATCGGCCGCCAGTCTCTTTGTCTGTTTTCCAATTACAATATGTGGTTTAGTATTACGTGAAGAATGTCTGTTTAATGTTGAATACCAACCGACTCAAAAAGGCAACATTGATCCAACCCGAATATTATATTCAGCCTTGGTTGTATGATGGAAAACTTCCTTGTGACTGGTTTCATAATAAATAAACCAGGTACTGACGAACCCGAAATCAGTAACAACATTTCATAATGACAAAAGATATCAGTGTCTAGAAGAGTAGGCATACCCAACCTGTAAGAAGATAAGAAGATAATCTATTTTTAACCTAGAGCATACAGATAATTTAAAAAATAATAATGTGTTTTGTGTATTTTGTATTTGTTATGGCCCTCTCTTGATATGTAACATAGCTTGATTGATGTATAATTGAATTATAATTCATGGCTATCAAAACTGCTAAATCACTCAAAGATGAACGTTAAGAATAAAACTTTGTTATATCAATAGAAATAAATAACGAATTCATTCTAAAGGAGAAAACTATGTTCATGCGAATTCAGGTATTATGATTGACTGTTTGAATGTTGAGTGTTTAAGTCGATGCTGGATTGAAGGTTTGATGCAATGCAGGCCACTGGTTCTGTTTGAATTATAGAAACGGTCATATATAGTTATAATAATCCATTATTCCATGATTTGTCTTCTTGTGTTCTTCCAAGTAATAACTGCAGTATTTTCTATAGTAACATGACAGCATGGCGCCAGGATTTTTATAAATTCATGATTAATCATCACCAGTAGGGACATCATATAAATCATTATAATATTTATTAGCTTGAAGATCCTACTACAAGGACAATTATATTTATATATTAGTGTAACTATTATTACCAAGGCAGCTAATCTTCCACCGTGTTTTAAAGTTCAGTTATCTTGATTACAAACCACAGTAGCCGACTTTCTTGTTAGTTATTGTTTTTTAAATGCAGTGATTTGATTTGATTGCACGCTAGTGAATACAACCAATCAATGAATTGGTCGAATATGTGAACTTCCAGTAGAGACTCCACATGGTTAACAATGTAATCTGAAATGTTTTACAATCATATGAGTAACGTTTAACAGTAAAACATTAGTTCAGTGTGGTCTGACAATATCTGTATTTTCATCCTAACACTTCTATCTGTGAAACTAATTCTGACAAAGTAAATTCTGATTTTAGTTGGCTACTAGTTTAAATTCTCACGAGGAGAATAGGTATGTTGAATTATAGATGAATCTTGAACACTCTCAGAAAGATGGTGTCAACAGCATTATTATTTTTCTTCCAGAAAAAACTGATTTTAATTACTGAAACACTTACGCGACTTTTTACGTATTACTGCCAGCTTAATATAGTTAGAAGTAGAAATGGAAGACTAATAGTGTTATGAACTCTCTGACAAACCTCAATTTTTAGTTTATAACTTCATAAAAAAACGTCACCCCTCTTAACTGCTAGTTGATTATTGCAAAGTAGGGTTAAGTATAAAAGTTGGTTCAGGAATGTATACTTTGGACACACAAAGCAATATAGAAAATTCTGCCTGTCTTCGCCTATGATAAATGAATTCATACAATGCCCAACTGAGAAAAGAAAGGGCTTTATTTACTCCTTCCTTACCAACCAACCAACCAGAGATATTTTATTATATACAGCCTGTAGCACTTAAGGTCTATAAATAATCTCCTCTATATAAGGTATATATAACATAAATCGAGAGAATCTTATACTTTAATCATCAGCTTAGAAAAGGAAATTATACGTCAATATTTTGACAGTGTTTCCTGATGGGTTAAGAAAGGAAAATTCAGACGAAGCCATACAGAATTCCACTTCAATATTCCACAAGATAAACACAAACTATTTACACTTTCATATTCTTGAAAACCATTTTGATTTTAATCGTTCTAAAATAATAAAACTGATACGAATAACACCCAAAATATTTATTTTTGATCGATTTACTGTCAAGACAGATGTAAGACTCTTTAAAATTTCTATAGATACATGTAAACTGAAACTGATTTATTCAATCATAACTCCGTAAAGATAATAATATTCTGAAATTATTTTTAAATCTTTACCAGGTCCAGCATTATCCCGTGTAATAATTTTACAATGGAAGATAACACTGTAAAAATGACATTAACATTACAAATAACAGCACCATTTAGTAATAGAGAGGGGGTATACATGGAACCTTCAGGTATTCCTTTTTTTCTTTAGAATATTAATGACAATTAGGAAACATCTTCTACAATATCTAAGCTATACGTCAGGTACATGGACTAACTTTACGTAAATACACACTTTTCTGTGCAGACATATTTTATGTTACTACCGCCTGTGCCAGAGTTGTCAACATATAATCTGATACGGAAACGTTTACAGGAAATTGCTGATGTAAAATCAATGACGGAAAGAAAGCCAAATCAACTGAACGTTCAAAATGACAAATTAATGTAAGAACGTGAATGATGCGAAGACATCGTTAGACTGAGACAAATTCTACAAAATCGAGTGGAAAAAACAGTTGATATATAATCAATCGCTGATTAATCTACAGTGGAAAATTCTTAACGTTAAAATGTTACTGCGTTGTTAATATGATTGACTGATTCAAGTAGAAAATGTTTCACAATGTTTCACATGATGTTAATAGAAGTTTTATTACTATCATATTTTAATCGACTTAAACCTGAATTTAAACAATTCACTGCTTCTCATCAATTTCAGTTTATTGAGTCATAATAACAAACTACTAAAAACACAAAAAACACTTAAACGTTTAATAATCGCCAAACTCATAAAGATTGTCAAATATAGCAGAAAATTGACATTTGTTGCATGATCGAGATAAATAAAGAAGATAATTTAGAGCATTTTATAGTGAATGTCATCTAACCCCATATTAAACAGCAGTTTTAGGTCCGTTTCCTTTAGACCAGAAACCTCTCCTTTTATAATTGTTATTATTGTAGGTTGGAATCTCTGCCTTGGTGATTGTAGGCCAGAAACCCCTGTAAAATGTACTTAAAAGCTTTCGGTACGTAAGGACGTACACGTAATAAGTCATTTCTAGAAAAAGGATAAAATATGTTGTCGCCATGTCGGAGATTTCTTCTAAAAATGATAGATAATAATCATACGATATAATGAATCCACGGAGTTATTAATGCTGATATAGCTTATTGACATCACTTAAACATATTCAAGATTAAAAAATGAATATTGAATACCAATTTCTTATTTTCTTGACTCCATTTATTAAAATGAAGTATATCTATCTAGAATAATGTTTAAGATAGTTTCAGCGAATCTTATCGAGTATCGTCTAGATAGTGTTGGTAAAAACAGATTCTGTTGGTTGAAGGTAGATATAGTGGTTTAAAATGCTCACAAAAATCGTCAATTTATCATACTTGTTGTTTTTCTCAACAATAATATTTATAATGAGCTATGTAGAAGTCAGTAGGTCTGACATACCATAATCTATCGTAATATTTGTCCCTGAAGAGTTGTTCTACTAACTGTGACGTATTTCAGAGAACGGAGCATCAACACAGATTCATGTACACTAAAAACTCGAGAATGTAGATATCCATTTGCTTCAGTAATTAAAGTCTTATTATATGATATTTGATTTGAATTCGTTGAACGAAGGTTACACTTTATCAAACTTTTAATACGAAATATGTTTTCCACAATATGCCAGTTTTGTTTATACCTATGTTCTGTCGAAATTCCCTTACAACCTGGCCATTCTATTGGTCAAATGTCTTGTATATTTGCTAACTGATAGTCATGGTAACTCTCTTGTCGAAAACATTCATCGTACAGAATTCCTCTATGCCATGTCTGTCCAACGAAAAGAAAATATTTTCACTTCATTGAAGACGAAGCCTTCACTATCAACAGAGCCATACGATTTACAGGTTAACGTAGAACCAAGTTGAACTAAGAACTGTTTCTATATTTCAGCAGTAACAGCCTACAAAACATGTCCTAATAATCCACAGGCTGAAATAGAACGATGTTTGAATATGACCGGTATACAACCTGAAGCTGATATGGTGGCGGGGACAAAAATTATTGGTGATACACAACGTACACGGCGGATCTGTAGGTAGGTTCAAGGGAGGTAATTCATATTAGAGAGTTATGTTCACCCGATCTAATAACTTTGCATCATTATTTTAAACTTTTGGAATACAACTGAAAGACAAGTAATGTGATGTTTTCAGTGTTATAATCTAGCAAACATGTTACCCTTGTATTTTTCTGTTGTAGAGATGGTACATTAGATAAAGCTATTCACTGTCTAGAGAATATATTTAATATCTGTATTTTAACCTTGTAGAGATGAGACTCTAGATAAAGCTATTCACTGTCTAGAGAATATATTTAATATCTGTATTTTAACCTTGTAGAGATGGGACTCTAGATAAAGCTATTCACTGTCTAGAGAATATATTTAATATCTGTATTTTAACCTTGTAGAGATGGGACTCTAGATAAAGCTATTCACTGTCTAGAGAATATATTTAATATCTGTATTTTAACCTTGTAGAGATGGGACTCTAGATAAAGATATTCACTGTCTAGAGAATATATTTAATATCTGTATTTTAACCTTGTAGAGACGAGACTCTAGATAAAGCTATTCACTGTCTAGAGAATATATTTAATATCTGTATTTTAACCTTGTAGAGACGGGACTCTAGATAAAGTTATTCACTGTCTAGAGAATATATTTAATATCTGTATTTTAACCTTGTAGAGATGGGACTCTAGATAAAGCTATTCACTGTCTAGAGAATATATTTAATATCTGTATTTTAACCTTGTAGAGATGAGACTCTAGATAAAGCTATTCACTGTCTAGAGAATATATTTAATATCTGTATTTTAACCTTGTAGAGATGGGACTCTAGATAAAGCTATTCACTGTCTAGAGAATATATTTAATATCTATATTTTAACCTTGTAGAGATGGGACTCTAGATAAAGCTATTCACTGTCTAGAGAATATATTTAATATCTGTATTTTAACCTTGTAGAGACGGGACTCTAGATAAAGCTATTCACTGTCTAGAGAATATATTTAAGATCTGTATTTTAACCTTGTAGAGACGAGACTCTAGATAAAGCTATTCACTGTCTAGAGAATATATTTAATATCTGTATTTTAACCTTGTAGAGATGGGACTCTAGATAAAGCTATTCACTGTCTAGAGAATATATTTAATATCTGTATTTTAACCTTGTAGAGACGGGACTCTAGATAAAGTTATTCACTGTCTAGAGAATATATTTAATATCTGTATTTTAACCTTGTAGAGACGAGACTCTAGATAAAGCTATTCACTGTCTAGAGAATATATTTAATATCTGTATTTTAACCTTGTAGAGATGGGACTCTAGATAAAGCTATTCACTGTCTAGAGAATATATTTAATATCTGTATTTTAACCTTGTAGAGACG